CCATGAATAACTGCTCCTGAGAAAGACTGAGGTCCTGGTGAAAGGCTGACTGTGAGGGAAGACAGGTGTGACAGGAATTCTCTGAAGAGGAGGTGTGTGATCTTGGGTGGTCTAAGGGACATGCCTGTGAGAACCTCTGAGAGTTGACTACAAACTACTGATCCATTGAGGAAAGCCAAGAAAGGCTCATAATTGCAACTCATTGGCTCTGGATTAAACTATCTAAGGTCTCTAGAACATTCTAGAAAACTTTCCTGTGAGAGGTGACCCTAACTACTCGTCCATTAAGGAAAGCAAAGAAAGGCTCATTACTGCAATAAACTGGCTCTGGATTAAACTCTTTAGGGCCTTTAGAACTTTCCTGTGAGAGGTGACCACTCTCTACTGATCCATTGAGGAAATGGATCACTATCGACATAAACTGTCCCTGAATTAAACTACTTAAGGCCTTCTAGAACTTTCTAAGAACTTTCAGTTCTAACTTGCATCAGCTAACTTGTGCACAACACCAAGGATGATCCAAGAGTAAGATTTTTCAAACATGACCCCTGAAGGGCTTATAAAGGGGAAATGTGTGGTAACTCAGTGGGTTAAGCACTGGGCTGCTAACCTCAAGGTCACCGATTTAAACACACCATCATTCTAGGAGAAAGAGGAGTCTGCCTGCTTCAGTATAGATTTACAGCTTGGGAAATCCTCAGGAGCAGTTCTATGGCCTATAAGTTAGCTGTGAATTGGAATCCATGAGATGACAATGGGTTTGGTTTGGCTTGGGTGCCAGGTTACTTTGTATGCCTAAACTTAAGCAATTAAAATCTGAAACCTGTTGCCAGAGTAGCTTCTGAAATTTAAAACGGACAAATCCTTCTCTCAGAATTATTATACCTGCCATATCTGAGTTTTTGTGCTTATAGGAAAATTAAAAAAAATATCCTGGATCTTTCTAACTATGTGATGGCTAGCTGTGGAGAAATGACTTCAATTTAACCCACTGGTCCTCTGATGCTTCCTAAAACAAATGAAGACCTGCTTCTGGAAGACATGGTCACCAATGGACACATCTCTCAAGCCATTTCAGGGTCTAAAAGCAAATGGAGCAATCACGTGAACAGGACGTGCTTAGCCATCCCAGTCTTTCTAGAGCATCTTATGGAAAATTAGTTAATGATTGAAATCTGCATAGTCACCTTAAATGAGTAACTCAGGTATGAAGTCATGACTCCTCTTCTTTCTCTTGTTTCCCATCTGACCCCTGCGGATGCCCCAAGGTTTTGTTGGTAGTGGAGAAGTCATGTTCATTTCATAGTGACCCCAGGAGAAAAGGTAGCGCTGTCTCGTGGGGTTTTGAAGGCTGTCATACTGATGGGAGCAGCTGACCCGGCCTTTCTCCTATTGAGCCTCTGGGGAGATATGAACCACTAACCTTTTGGCTAGCACCTCAACACTTAACCACTGGACCACCAAAACTCGAACCAGACTCACTGTCTTCAAGTTGCTGCTGACTCGCAGTGAGCAATCAGGGTAGAACTACCTCTGAGTTTCTGAGACTGTAAATTCTTACGGGAGTAGAAAACCCCGTCTTTCTTCCTTGGAGTGGTAGATTGTTTTGAACTGCTGACCTTGTTTACCTCATAATCACTATGGCACCAGGGCTCTTTACTGGGTCCCCAGGACTCCCTATATATCTTCTTAGCTCCCTTAAATAACTCTATACATAGAAATCTGGGTCAGACAATTCACAGAGTATGCACTTATTAAGTAATTTGGATGGAGCATTCAAAGATCATAAATCATGTCACTGGCCATTTATTTTCTCAAATAAACCGATTTCTGAAAGGTTTGTAAGGCTACTTAAAACATAATTTTGTTCACATCCCTTCATCAACATTTCCCCTGACAAATCTCTCTCTCTCTTTCTACCTACCTACTTTCCTTCCATCCATCCATCATCATTTCATTTAACAAGTCTACTCATGGAAAGGAGTCCTTGTGTTTCAATGGTTATGTGCTCAGTAGTTCAAACACACCCAGGACTCCACAAGACACATACCTGGTCATCTACCTCTATAATGTCTACAGTCTAGGAAATCACATGGGGAAGTTGCTTCTGTCACACTGGGCCACAATGAGTCAAAAATCAACTCCATGGTACACAATACCACCACCAACAACAACAACCGAAGGAAGGCATAATTTAATCTAAAAATGATACTGCGAAAGGTACTCTGCCTCATTATGTGGGTGGACCTCGCCTTAGGGACTACACGGGAATCAAACGAAGTGCCTCTGTAGAAAGAGCCAATGACAAAGCTCAATGTCATCAGTCAGAGCAAGACTAGGGACTGACTGTGACTGTGGACCAGCCCATTGATTGACTGACTGTGACTGTGGACCAGACCACTGATTGCTCATTTGCAAGGCCGAGTAGAAGCAGAAACAAATTGAAGCAGAACCACAAGAGCCAACGTACAACCTGGACTACATCCCTTCTAAATTCAGAGGCTTTCTCGAGAATGGGTTTGAGGCTATGAATGCTAATTAACCCAAAGCAGAGGAGTTGTGGGAGAACGTGAAAAACATCACAAACGAAGAAAGCAGAAGGTCTGTATACAGATGAGAGAGAAAGGCAGAAAAGAGAAACTGGATGCTGAAACTTATTTTTGAATACAGAGCAGCTGAGATGAGTGAGAGAAAGGATGAAGTAACAGCTGAATACAGAGTTCAAAGGTTAGCTGGAGAAGACGATGTATTATAATGAAATACGAAAAGACATGGCGTTAGAAAGTCACATTGGAAGGATATACTCAGTATTTCCCAAGCTGAAAGAACTAAGCAGGCAAATCCAATCTTTGAGTGGTAACACTTAAGAATTCTCTGGACAAATTATTGAAAGGCGGAGAAATATCAAGAGAATATGAAAGGAATATAAGTAGTCACTGTACCAAAAATAATTGGTCTACTGTCAAACCTCTCAGGAGTTCCCATGTGACTGAGAAATAATA